TTCTTGCCAAATTGCCCTAGTTAGAACTTACAGTGAGTAAAGCGGTAAGAGTGGATAATTTTGTCTTGTTCCTGATCATATGGAGACAGCCTTCCATATTTTATCATTACACATTATGTTACTTAATGATGCTGCTATCAGGTTGAGAAAGTTCTCTTCTACTGACAGTTTGTTGACTGGAAAATCTGAGTTGATCTATCTTCATGAAAGGGTGTTGGATTTTGTCAATTGCTTTTCTGATTCTATTGGGATGATGTGGTTTTGCCCTTTATTCTATTCATATGTTGTATTATATTAGTTGATTTTCATATATTAAACCAACACTGCATGTCTGGAATAAATTGCAATTGATCATGGTGTATAATCCTTTTCATGTTTTTAGATATGTTTGCTCGTATTTTGTTATTTTTACATCTGTATTTATAACAGATACTACTCTGTATTTTTTTTGTGTGTGTGATGTTTTTGTTTGATTTTGGTATCAGGGTAATAATGGCCTTACAGAATGAGAAATGTTCATTAAAATGTTCCTTCCTCCTCTATTTTCTGAAAAACATTTGTTACAAACAAAAATACATTTATGCTGACTTTCATATTTACCTATATATTTGCAGTACTCTATTCACATTATTCTTCATGTGGATTTAAGTTACTGCCTAGTGTCCTTTTATTTTAGCTTGAACGACTCCTTTTAATGTAGGGCAATTATGCTAATGATAAATTATTTTGGCTCTTGTTTGCCTCAGTATGTCTTAAATTCTCCTTCATTCTTATAGAATAATTTTGCTGTACAAAGAACAATTGGTTGGCAGTCTTTTTCTATTTTATGTCATCCCTCTGCCTTTTGGCGTCCATGGTTTCTGATGTGAAATCAGCTGTTAATCTTATTGAGGAACTCCTTATATGTAATGAATTGCTTCTTTCTTGGTGCTTTCAAGACTTTTTGTCTATATTTATTGGCATGTTTATTATGATGTGTCTAGATATGAATTTCTATGAGTTTATTCTATTTAGAGTTCATTGAGCTCCATCCATATGTAGGTTAATGTTTTTCATCAAATTTGTGAAGTCTTCTGTTTTATTTCCTCAAATATCTATTTCCTCCTTTTTTCTCTCTTTCCTTTCTTTCTGGGACTCTCATTATGCACATGGTAGTATGCTTAATGGTATCTCACAGATCTCAGACTCTGTTCATTTTTCTTCATTCTTTTCTTCTCTCTGTTCTTCAGTCTGGATAATCTGAATGGACCTATCTTCAAGTTTGCTGATACTTTCTTCTGCCAGCTCAATTCTGGTGTTGAGTCTCTCTAGCGACGTTTTCATTTGAAGTTCCTGCATTTTTTAACTCCAGAATTTCTACTTGATTCTTTTTTAAATGTTTGATTTCTTTAAAGATTTCTATTTGATGAGACCTCATTTCCACATTTTCTCTTAGTTCTTTAGACATGGTTTCCTTTAGTTCTTTGAACATATTTAAATAACTGTTTTGAAGTCTTTGTCTACTATGTCCAATAGCCAGTATTACTCAGAAAGAGTTCCTTTTTACTGTTTTCCCCATGTGTGAACCATACCTTCTTGCCATGTTTCATAATTTTGTTAAAGACTGGACATATAAAATAATATAATGTGACAACTCTAAAAATGAGATTTTCCCCCCTTACCAGGGTTTGTTTTGTTGCTGTTTGTTTGGTCACTTTCCTAAACGAATTCTGTAAAGTCTGTAGTCTTTTATGTCAGGTGTGGCAGTGAAATCTCTGGTTGGTTAGTTCAGTTGTCAGCCAATAATTGGTCAGAGATTTCCTTAGATGCATTGAACCACTGTGTGTCCTAGTGTTTGCTACCTTTGGGAAAGGGGGTCTGTATGCATGTTGAAGCATACCTCCTACATGCAGGCAGGCAGTTTACAACCCTACCTTAGTCTTTGCTTTCTGCCAGCACAGTGTTTCAAAGCCAAACAAGGATGAGGACTGAGAGCTTTCTTAGGTCTTTCCTGGTGTCTCCTATTGCTGCTGTAACGAACTCACCACAAGTTAGTTTACCACAAATGCAGTGGCTTAAACAACAGAAATTTATTCCGTTATAGTTCTGGAGGTCTAGTTTAAAATCAAAGTGTGAACCTGGAGGACATTATGGTAAGTGAAACAAGCCAGACACAGAGATGCAAATCCTGTATAATCTTACTTAGACTGCACATGGAATCTAATACAGAATAGAACAACAGTTGCCAGAGGCTGGTGGGAGGGCAAGGAAAGAAACAGGGAGTTGGTCAAATGGTGCAAAGTTTCAGATAGACAGGAGGAATATGTTGGGATCTACTGCACAGTAGGTTAACCATAGTCAATAATGATGTTATTGTGTGTCTCAAAATAACAGAGTAAATTTCAAATGTTTCACCAGAAAAAATAAGTGAGGTGATAGATATGTTAATTATTAGCCTGGTTTAATCATTCCACATTGTATACATATATCAAAACATCATATTGAACCCCATAAAGTATATAATTACGATTTGTCAATTAAAAATAATGTTAATTAAAACAAAGGTGTTAATAGGGCTACATTCCTTCTGGAAGCTTCAGGGAAGAATCCACCCTCTTACCTTTTATTTCCAGCATCTAGAGCCACCTTCATTCCTTGGCTAATGGCCCCTTCCTCACATTACTCCATCCTCTTCCTTCCATCATCACATCTCCTACTTCTGACTCTGATCTTCCCACGTCTCTCTTATAAGGACCTTTCTGATTACACCAGATCCACTCAGATAATTAAGATATTTAATTTATCTTAATCACATCTGCAAAGTCCCTTTTACTATGTAAGATTACACAGTCACAGGTGAAAACAGTTATTATTGAAGGGTTATTTCATGCAGCCAAGGAACATAAAATTCAGGTTATCAGAGGGAAGGTCCTTAGAAACAAAACAGAAGATAGGGCCTTAAGCTGGTATAAAACCAGCATCACACTAATGTGATGCTGTTAGAGATACTTCAAAAAAGTCATAATTCAGCAACTACAATAATCAAGAGAACAACTGGGAACAAGAGGGAAATGACATTGGAGAGGTGGATAGAGATTTGTGGTCTTCAGATTTGAAAGGGAATAGCTAAGAGGGTTATGAATAAATAATATACAAATACTAAAAAGCATAGATACAAATACTATACAAATACTAAAAAGCATAGATAGAAAAGTAACACACTTTTCATAGTAAGTGAGGAATTTATGAGATTCCACGCCCTGAGGATATTGTAAAATAAAATACAATATAAAATAGTTTCAAAACTTCAGAGATAATTACTCCAAAGTAATTTAAAGAAACTGTGATGGACTGAATTGTGTTCCCTCAAAATTCCTATGTAGAAGGTCTGATCCCCAAATAACTCTATCTGGAGATAGGGCCTTTAGGTTAAATGAGGTCATTAAGGTGGGGACTTAATTTGATAGAACTGGTGACCCCATAAGAAGAGATGCCAGAGATCTCTTTTACTCTTCTTGTAAGAGAGAAAAGACTATGTGAGGACACAGTGAGAAGGTGGCTGCCTACAGGCCAGGAAGAGAGGCCTCACCAGAAACCAACCCTAAGGGCAACTTGATCTTGAACTTCTAGCTTCTAGAACTGTGAGAAAATAAACTTTTGTTGTTTTAGCCACCAAGTCTGTAGTAGTTTGTTATAGAAGCCCTAGCTGACAGGAACTTTAGATATTTTGGTAGACATCTCTAGTATCATGAGATTGCCATCAGGAAAATTATCTCTTCTCAAGAAAATACTAGTTGGTTTCAGTGTTAAAGTCAGTAGGAATATCTGTTCATTTAATCATATGACACATATTCAAGTTCAGTGTCAGGCTGTAGAATTTTTGTGTATAGGTATGTGTGTGTGGTATGCTGGGGGAAGTACAAAGATGGATAACATGTAAACTCCTAAACAGTATCACAATATAGTATGAAGTAATTCTGTTTTGTTTTTTTTTTAAAGAAAAAGCCCAAACACATGTGAAGAATTCTACCTAATTATGCTGAGGTAGATTCTCAACAATGAGGCTCTGCTTTCCCTACTAAAGTGGTAAGAAAGTATACACCACGGTTCTCAATCTCAGCACTACTGACTTTTGGACCAGATGATTTTTTGTTGTAGGTGGCTGTTCTCTGGCATCTATCCATTAGATGCTAGCAGCCCCTCAACACCCCCCTGCTCCCCACTCTGACAGCCAAATATGTCTCCAAACATTGCTAGATATCCTCTAGGTGACTGATAAAATGGCTGAAAGAGCTCCACAGGTGATCTGATCCAACCCCTGAGGAGGCAAACACCACAAAAGTGTGCACCAATAACAACATTAGGCAACTTGCAAGAAATGCAGATCACAAGATAAAACATTGCTACAAGAATTTAGAGAACAAATGATGGAGAAACCCAGCAACATGGGGTCACACATTTTTTTAAGCATAGTACTTAAAAATACTCTATGTATTTTTATATATTTTATATTTTTTCCTGAGATGCTTGGGCCAGAGTTAGAATAATAAAGAGAATTATAGAGGATGTGTGAGAAAATTTTCCGTAGGTGGAATTTCCTGAAGGTCTAACGAGTAAAGACACTGTATTTCCTTAAAGGAGGAAAAAGATGGAACCTGTCCTCAGCTCCTGACAGCCTTCCTTCAGGTTTATATTGATCCACAAATTATTTAGTAAGTGCATACTATAGTCCAAGCACTACACAACAGGCATAGTTCTTGGTGCTGGGAATACAATAAAGAATAAAATTTCCAATACTTTCTGCCCTCATGGAGCTTACATTCTCATGGGGGTGCGAGGAAGGGTGAGGGTGTGAGGAGAAACATAAACAATAGAAATAAAATATGTAATGTAATATATGGTACTAAGTGCTAGGGGAAAAATAAAACCAGAAACAGGGACTGGGTGTGCCGCTTAAGGGGATTCAGTTGAGAGAGATCATGGAAAGTCTCGTTGAGCTGATAACATCTGAACAAAGATACCTGGTCCTCACCACCTAGAAAGGGTCCTAAACCGATCACTGGAAACACCTCTGCCTCCGACCATCCCATATTGTCTTTCTCCTTGTGTTCCCAGCGCCGGTACAGTAACACAGCTGCCACCAATTACTGAGCACAGTCCCCCTCCAACCAAGCACTGTGCCAGGGGCTCCCCAGACATAACGTTAATCCAAAGCTCGGGAGGTGCATGTTACTATTCCCAATTTTTAGAGAAGAAAGTGAGTCTCCGAGAGCATATGTTCTTATCACGCGGCTAGGAAGCGGCAGAGCCGGGTTCCCACCCAGGTCTTCCTCGACTCCGAAACCACATGGAGGCGGCTCTGCAAAAGCTGTTAAACGCACAAGCCAACAAAGAGCAACGCCCGGCGCGTGCCAGGCCCCGAGCAGGGGAGGCGAAC